CATGGCTACCATTAATGGAAATCATAATTACGAGATTAAATTACTAGGCAAGACAGAATATCAGTATTTAAATGAGCTCAAAGGGTTTTCTAATATGATTTAAAATACGATAAAAGTTAAGCGTTCATGAAGAAAATATATTGATGAGGTCATTTATGCTTAACAAACTTTATATCACATAGGTCTATTTAGACTCTTATTGTCACAATAAGTAGGGGTCTTGTATGTTTATTTTGTAAAATAAAATAAAATACCAATCCAATTCGAATGTTGTAAGATGCCAAACCACATTCAAAAATGCCTTGTAAGTAATTTAGAAGTAAATATTTATAGTCATAAATTTATGTGTGCAGTTTGTAGTGGTTTTGTTTGGTTAATCGATTACCTCGATAACCGTTATAATAAAAATCTCGACGGTGATTAAAACCAGACGGCAATGAGAAGCGGTAACTACAGTTTATTAGCGGATAGCGTAGATCACAAAGTTATAAACACATCAAGCGAAATTGAAGCAGAAAAGTGAATATATATGTATGCGAGCAAATACAAAGGCAAACTTATGGTCGAACCGCCCAAGGTCTCAGCAAGGCAAAGCAAAGGCTAATAATAGGATTCGCGTACACACATATGAATAATCGAGTGATAATTAAGCAATCAACATTTTAGCTAGTCTGTCATTTGCTCTAGTGATCGTAACGGTATAAAGAAATATGCGAATTATTACTGTTCTAATAACATTGTCTGTTAAGTAAGTTAATAAAAGGTCTTAACCAAAATTAACCATAATCGAAATTGGTTGTAGGATAGTTGCCGTAAATTATTTAATTATACCACTTAGATTTGAAGGTACTATTATATCTCTCATACATCAATATTGGAATGAATTTCCCTACTATAGTCGTTATAATACTTTTTCTCAGTTAAACATACCCAGATCCAATAAAAGCAATGAGCAAGTATATATGTATGTAATTTAGGTTATAGATTTTTACTCAATATGCTTAATAAAACTACCTAGTACGTTTTTGTAAAAATGAAGAAGGAACACATTTATTCAAGAAAACAATTGATGAAATACTATTTTTTCAAAAATATAACACAGAACTCTTAACTTAATTATATTTTCCAATAAATGGGATCAGTATAAAACCTATCTCAGCTGCATCCCAATAAGTTTCACGTTTATTTCAAAGCTTTGTCAGTAAGATGAAATTTAACTGATTAACTCTAATTTTTTTTCAATGTCTAAAATACAGTTTATTGTATTGAGATTAATTAATAAGAATGTTTTTACCAATACTCAGTATCACTGTATTATTTAAATCGCTGTGTTTTCAGCTGAAAACTTTGACAAAAAGGCGTGAAGTTAAATAAATAGTTTTGTTTAGCATATTAATGGTTGATTGCATTTAAGAAATCTAGTTTAGGTAAATAGTAAACGGATATAGCTTTTCTGGTCATTCAGTCGGTCATTCCCGACAAATGTTTGAGTTACTTTTGTTATCACAAAGTTGTATTATTTAAAACGTTTCCAAAAAAAATTAGGAAGATTAAGCACTTGTTTTATTGGTGGATAGTATTCAGCCTAAACGATATTGATTAGGTTTACTGCATCCTATTAGAGGATTTTTAGTCTTTAGGCGAATATTAATCGGCTGGTTTATGTGCTTTACCGACAATCAGTCAAGTGAAAATATTATTAAATCATGGCAGACAGTCTAAGTAAACTATGTAGTCAATATTTTCACAGGTATACATGGTAGTCTAGCAACACTATGGAAGTGCGAAACTCTATCATTTCACCCTAACATGGATATTTTATTATTTGCAAAGAATATAACTATTTGAATAAGATTGAGATATCTATTTTCTTTTGTATTATATGCAGTGCGTAATCGTCATACCCGAAATAAAATTTCTTCATATGAAACCAAGTTTTTTTTTCGATTACGTTACAAGAAAAAATCTGTTACGATCGTTACTAACTTTTATCATGCAACCTATGTGATATTCGCTTTCAAAAAACTAACTCACTATCAAACTGTACTCAATAAATTCAAAAATGTAGCTAAAGTCAGTAAGTAGACAAGTAATCTTATCTTATATTCTCTGTCTACTAGAGCTGTATCAACATGTTAAAGGATTATTTATTTATTGCTAAAAGTAGAACATACACGTGAATAGGTTAATTTTTTATGCTAAAGAAGTACTGAGACACTTCTAAAACTATATATCATTTTAGAAACTTCTGATTGACATTTTATTAAAACAAAGTTATGAATAACAGAATTATTTAAGTGAATGTATTTCTGGCAAGGAGGAAATAATGTAAAAATTAAATGACTGCTATTTTTGCTCATTTGATTATTTTTACCTTTACAAAGAATATAAATATCTACTTGTGCTATTATTATTATAATCTAATGTTTTTTTCTTCCGCTTATATATATGTCATAGTTACTAATTAGCTCTCCTAAGTGAGAAACATACTTAGATACAAGTTGTACTTTTAGGGCTATTATTAACTACAAGCGCACTTGTATACACCAACCACCTAAATAAACACTACTGCTTCAAAAACTAATACTTATTCGCTGGATCTTTATGCATATTCATAGTTGGTTTATATGGCTTGATAAAAGCTAGGGGAGAAATAGTAGCCATTGATAGGAATATGCGTAATTAGTATGTGAAAGTATTTTTAGAAGATTTTTTAATGCAATGTTTAATTTCCTTTTCAAGAAATAGGTATAAGTCATATTGTTTACATGCATTTGTATTTTTTACAGACATTGTCTATCATATTACGACTACAATATCAATACTGGGTGTGATATAGTCATATAAACAAAGTTTATAATGTAGTTTTAAAAATCCCTAATAATGTTAACACCCATGAATGTTCTAGTAGTGTCATTTAAGAGATTTTAATCACTAGGCGTTTTACAAACGTGATTCGAATCGAATAAAACAAATAATCAGTCTTGGAGATACTGCCAGTTAATGTAAAAATACCAGATACTCATCAGAGTGAACTTTAGCAAGAGCCCTTGTTTATTCTATGACCTTAGTTCAACGTAATTTTTTTAACGATTATGATCAGATGAGTGTCCATGAAAGTTTGATTTTTATTTCCTTATATCATTGTTGACGCTTTTCCAAGGAAGATCAAATTGTCTGTCAAAATATCCACCATTTCGGTTAAAAACTTGTTGTGCTTTAGAAATATTATGCTTCAAACATCAAATTATTAACCTGATTGAAATCTAAATGCCAACTTGCGTATAACCATCACAATCGAAATATTTAATACTGTTGTTGAACGTTTAGGAATCACAGAAATGGTTTTGTCCTTATGAACAACATAAAAAAATCCTTAAGTCTAGGACTCCCTAAAATATATTATTATATTATTAGAAATATTAAATGTCAAGTTATTCCGTAATATTTTTTAACTTAGATGTTTAATATTTTTAAGTTTGTGTCCATGAATTATTAATACTTCAATTTAGCTCATCTTAGGAATCATAAAAGCCTTCATCGAAATTATTCTAAAACACGATTTGAGTATATGACACCAAAGTCAGGATTTATTGGGTTTGGTCAATAACGCACTGCTCGAAGCCATAGTGCATTATTCTCTATAATTATCTATTTCATAGGTTGGTTGTTTAGTCCAAAAGTCCAGTTTACCAAGCCTCTCACAAAAGTAAGCGAAGTATGCTATGTAATGTGGCTTGATTACTGTTAGTTTTCAAGATAATTATATTATCGCATTGTGTTTAGTGATAGCAATTGTAATGCATGTAATGTGAAATTTCTAAAATATTCTAATCTCCTATCTGTTGAAACATCAATGCCTCGAAAGATTACTCATTCATTTATGGTCTAGTGGTTTTCTACAAACTATTTAATGCTTTTAATAATTTTATTTTGACAGAAACGGATTTTTTTCACAAACTGGAGAGTACACTTTCGTAACTAAGCAAAGATTATTTGTTTTTTTTTGTTTGTATAAAGGCATATGTTACATTGGGATGTAATGATAATTAATGGGAAAATATCAAGTTTAAGCAGAATACTTATTAAATATTTTAAGTAGATGTCTGTTACTAATAATCATTCCAGAAAAACAAAACCGTAACTTCAGAAATGTTACTTAAAACATAAATTTATTTAACATATCCGTTTATTCAAGGAAATATATACGAACTTCTATCATAGACAACAGTATTTCTAACTAACTCTACTGAGGTTTCGACTATCAAAATCAAAATGTCGTTCACATTACCACTGATGATTGACCTGTGGATATAAAAGAAAGACAATTTTCAGGATTTTAGTTAAGCTGTTTACATCGTTCTAAAACAAAATGGTGTGACGAATTACGCGTTTACGTAGTCTATAACATTGGACTAATTTAAGGATTATTTAGTTAGTAAACACCCTAAAAGTTACCTTTTTGATCATCTAATTTATAGAAAATTAAGTACCGTAATCATTGTTTTCTTTTCTATATGTTAGTTAAACTTTAACCAAATAATAAAATCACTCTAATCAAATTGATTCGTTAAAACTGCTCAATAAACCTTAAACTGAATATAAAATTATAATTTTGAGGAACTTACTAGATTGATTTAAGATTCAAAGTAAAAAATAATCGTAACTGTTATTGTCGATGAATATGAGTATGGGATTTCTTTCAGTGGTAAATTATTCGATGAATTTGTGAACGTTTTTAAAAGTAAAAACGGTTGGAATCTAAATTATGCATCCTTAGCCCGCATCCTCGATAAATATAATTTAAACTAGATGTATGAATATGGAAATACGAATACCACTTAGGAATTAGTGGAAAGATTTGAACTAATCACGAGTTTGAACACTGAACATTTTCTGAATTTATTTATTTATTTATTTTTGGATGCTTTCTTGGTTTCGATCCCCTCAAGAAACAAAGATCAAAATAACCTTTTATTCTTTTATCATCTTAATTTTAGGTTTATTGGTTAAAAGATGGAAAGCGTGTTGATACTAAATCGTTTCCACATATTGTAATTAATGACTATAATCACTTGATCATAGAAAATACAACAACTGCAGATAGTGGAAATTATACTTGTGTAGCAGCCTGTCTTAATGGTGAGAAAAGACGTGCAGTTGCTCGAGTCAATATTTTCCGTAAGTCCGATTGATAGTGTTCTTCATTTAAATTAACGCTCTCACTAACAGTAAGCTGGTAACGCATTCAAAGTTTGTTGCAATAAATTTAGGATTGTCTATATTACTCAATATTCACTATCAGGAAGTGGAGTTTTGTTTTTTGCCAATCAAGCAAAAGAAATTACTGATGCTTTTCCACATATGTAACAATATCATGCCCATATCATGTCACTTTTTAGTTAAATGAGTAAATAAAATGTATATACAATGTTTACCAATAACTCAAAAACTCAAGTGTATGCGCTTAATTAAACAGGAGGGTAAGTCATGTTTATGAGAGTTCTACAAATTCCTAGTGACCTATTTACATAAAGTAACGTTGATTATGGTAGGACAATGTTTTCCGTTAAAAAAGACAATTTGTTTTTTTCGACATGAACTGTTTCATTGAAAAGAAAGTTGTTTAGCTTTAAAAAATTACATCACACAAATCACTGTGCCAAGTTGACTTATGTAGGTACATCGATTCAATTTCAAGTTGTATGTGCTCGTATTTTATTTAAAATTACCAGTAAAAATTACTTTTAATAGCTCATCGAATTACTTTTAGTGATTTCACAGATAAATAATTACTGGTTTTGCAGACCTAAATGAGGTTACAAACTCTGGCTATCATCATTAGGAATTCCCAGATATTGAGTTATCTACCTGTTTATTTATCATGTTGGTTTATAACTTCAAACAAGTAAAACCTTCACCTCTAATTACAAATGCCAATAACTAATACTACTTTTTATACTGTAAATAACAGCCAATTAGTTTCCCCTTTCATCTTAAAACTAGAAATAAATTAAGTAGCTATTAAGATCATCAGACACAGGGGGTTTCGTATTTTCTACATTAAAATATTGGAATTTTTTTAACCATTATTAACATTGCGATTTGAGTCAGCAGTTTGTAAGTAGAAAATGGCCTCGTCTTATGGAACAAATAGTGTGTAGATATAGTTATCAATTGAAAATTGACTGATTGGAAACTGATTTTACAGTAAATTTTTATTTCAACGTCCAGAAAACTGTGACATTTCAGTGAAATTAAGTCGTTCAACGATGAGCGTACAGGAAAACATTTGCTACATTTGTACTCATGTATAATAAATGTGTTCGCACATTTTTAAAACAACCCCAATTACATTAGCTAACAACCACCTAATATAATATTTCAAGTAACTAACTAATTCTTTTTAATTTACGTTGGATTATCTAAGATGAACACTTTATTTCAGAGTTTGCATTGTTGTTCTGCACATTATGTTATCCGTTTGTTATACTGAAATCAGTGTTTTATTATAGTTTCTAACTGCGAATTAAGTTTGAGAATACTTGACTAAAATTTAAATTCTCAAAAATACTTTCTACTTACTACCTTTAGCCTACAATTCTGCCATGAATCGACCGGTAGGTGGTGATTTGACTAACTGGGGTGAGTGGGGAACATGCTATAAAGTCATAGCAGAAGGAAGCAATGCTCGAACAGTTTGTCAACAAACCCGTCATCGTATATGTGCCAATCAAATAACATCAAAAAATGAATTTAAATCAATTGATATGAGTAATCTAATAACAGATCAGTGTCCTTTACCTTTATTCCAGACAAGAAATTGCTCTTCCAGTCAGTGTATCAGTAAGTAAAATTCTGTCTATCTAAACCAATGGTTTGAGTAATATCGTTCCCATTTAGGTAATATTTTAAAAATCATTGCCTAACTTGAAGTCACGACCAGGACCTGGATATGTGATGACATGCTGTTGAAAATACAACACACTTGTCAATTTTTAGATTATACGAACCAGCTGATATTTATTTTTCAAGTAATCTGTTACAGATAAAACTATTGTGAAGTAGAATAATAAGGTAATATGCTATACAGTGTAAAATTGACTGAAGCAAACAGGTTGGGAAAAATTCGTCAATTTTGTAAAGCAACTGATTAATACTTTAGAATAAATATGTAAAAACGACCAGAAATAAAAAAGAGATACTACTCGAAAAAAAGCTAATGATTTTCAATGCATTTGTCAGTGGTTTTCCTTATTGTCAAGCAAAATGTCGAATTAATTAAGGGAAAATAAACACCAGAAACATGCTAATTTCTAATAAGCCAACTGTATGATATAAAGTTAAGTGAACGTGCTTGTCTTCACATAACCTGAATAATATCAGCCGAACAAAGTAACTGAGTGAATAAAACTTTGAATTTGAGTAATTCATTGTAAAACAGAAGCAATTATAGGTATGATATAAAAGCTTACATCGTATTTGAATAATGTTGCTGCTTAAATTCAATTTTTCAAGCACTAGAATTCAAAGGACCATTGAATTATTGTTTTTCACTTCATTAATTAATCTGAATTTATATATTAAAGTATCTTTGAAATACCTAAAAATTGGACAACGGTATACATTTGATCAAGTTTACTTTTGTTCAGTTTATGTACTTTTTAAGTGATTTACAAGCCACAAAATTTTTCAAGATGTTTGATAGACACACTTTTGTACTTCAAGAGGATGTGTCTATTTTGATTTTAGTCACTTACATCGTATTTTGTGGATGGATATTTTAATCTATCGTAATATAAAATGTTATTAGGCATAAAATAGTTTTGTTTAAGTGAACCTATTCACTTAACAACCAATTAACTTGATCTTCATTTTAAACTTGATACATTATAATTAGCAGAAATTAAAAGAGATAATAGCAGGGTGTGTGTAATGAATTTTACCCTAGCGCTTAGAGCGAATTCAGTAGAATACTTTTGTTAGTTTACAAATTACCGACAAATTTATTAGAGGTTTTGTTTAGTAATCTCAAAAAAACATAAACTATAGATTGCACAATATGTTTATCTGACGAAAATTATTTATGAGTATTCTATTTTGCAGTTTCGCATATCACGTAAATTTACCTTTTTTTTAGATTCCATGAATAACGTCGTTCTCAAGGGAATTCACCTTTCAGATATAAAATCACCAACTACTACATTAAAAATATCAAGTTCACAAATGTTTAAAACTGGAGAAATCGCAATTTATGTTGGTTTATTTTTGTCCTTAGCCGTGCTATTAGCGGTTATTGCTCTAATAACTAGGCGAAAAAGTTTGAAATTTTCTACTGCTCGGGCGATTCGTTATTCTGCTTGTCTTCATAGTGAGTAATTTACTTTTTTCTCTATGTAACCAGATACTGCTTTTTGAAAATCATGAAATCTAGATGGTTCTTATGGTGTTCTGTAAATTGCGAAATAGATACATAATAACAGGCGATGAATATTAGGTTAGTGATGTTTGATTGTGATATTCTAAGTTGTTGACATTTGCAAAGAAGAAAACGTAAGTTTTGAATTCAACTGAGAATAACTAATAAACAACTTAACAGAGGAAATTTTAGTTTAATAAAAGAGAGTGTAAATTAATGTCATACACATTTTAAAACAATTGTAATTTGTCTATCCAAAAAGTAATTAATAAGGAAGAAATGCGATGCAGTAAAAATTAAACTAAAGCCATGTAACGGGAAACCAAACTCATATATAAGTGTACACATACTGAACGATTCCATATGGATTGTCACGATCTGTAGTCTTAAATAGCTAACAACAAACAGAAATTCTGTTGATAGGTAAGTGTAGAAAATACCAAAACGCTTGTTCTATCTGCTAATGATTTACACATTTTAAATATAGGTCATGGTACATCGGGATATTTTATTGATGATTAGACTAGAATCAGCTTATTCTAGCCTATTTATTTCTCGATATGGGTCTGCATTGACTCTCTAGTTATATGCGAAACAGCAGTTCAATGTTTAGATTAGTGTCATCTGAGTATAGTGAAACTGACTAAACATCTTAGGTTTTTCATCTTCTTGTTTAATAACATAGTGTTTTTTAATTTCAAAAGGAAATACGTAAGTTCACCATACATTGGCTTAAATGGCTGTTTTCGGTTCCAGCATATTGAAATTAACTGGAAAATAGTTCATATAATTGTAAACAAAAGAAATAAAAACTCATAAAACTGAATTAGTTTCAAGAAAACTCACCATCACCAGAGTAGATTAACAATAAAGCTGCATGCCTATCTAATCTGTGAATGTTAAAACAGGATACAATGAAAAGTTCCCTCATTAGAGGGTATATGAGAATGTTATAAAACAGATTTTTCATCTATTTTAGTTCGTTATTTGATTAATCGAAGCTGGTTTACGTTTTTCTTTATGATATATGTATTACGTAACTAATGAGTGTTCAATATTACAATAGAAAATTACTTCGGCCATCACATTAAAAAAAGCCAGACGAGAACCTATTCATTTTCCTCAATATACAATTCTAATAATTCTAATTAATAAAGATACAATTAAAAAAAACCAAAAACAGCTTCTAGGCGTTTCTAATAGAACATGTTTCATTTAATGTCATATAAAAAGTCTTAATTAGTTATTATATTAATTTCTTATCGTACGCTTCATACAGACAGTAAGGAAATACATGTGATTCGACTAATAATTAATGTGTTGAATGGAACAATATTTAAGATATTAAGTGATTTTTATTATCTAATTTCCCTGCATTTCTTCATTCATACATTACATGGGACGTTATGAGAATCCTTACGAAATATATTCAAGTAAATTAATGGTTTTCTAATTTTCAGCGATGCGAATGCAATTTTCTTTCCCCCCTCCAAAAAAAATCTATGGAATAAGGAGAAGAATACATTTTGTTCCATTTATCATCTTGAAGAGATCAAGAAAAAAGATTTGAACTAAATCGCATGAAATTATTTTATTTTGTTAAGTTCTCAGTAGATGCCTACACTCTATATTTAACATCATAGTGTACTGATGATTAAGTAAGATAATAAGATTTGAGGGAATATAAAAAGGTGTTTCATATAAATACCTTATACGGAAAGAGACGCTAGGACACTAAACATAATAACAAAAAAACATGAAGCTATAAAAAGTCTATCGGGTTATGTAAGTAAGATGAATACACAGAAGTTAGTCGTAATTGAGAATAGAATGTGTTGAGATTAATCAGTTGAAAATAAAATAGTGAATATGAAAGAAATTGCAATGCTGCAGTCAATATGAGCAAAAGGTTTGTAAACCGAGAGTCTCAGTCACTAAGACCGATTCATATTATTCTGGTCAAGTCTTCGTTTTGTTCTTTACATTTTTTTAAATTTCGTAGTATATTTAATGCTTGTTTTAAAAGAATAATTCATTTTCTAAATTAAACCAGTTCTTAGTTTTAAAAAATACTTACGATTTGATCGTATTTTGAACAGGTAAACGTTCATGTCGACAAGAGATAGTTAATAAAAAAGCCCAAGGTAAGCTACCAAAGATGCTATTGTTAATTTTTTTGTAAATTATATTGAGGAAAAAACTACTTGCGATACAGTTATCAATGTTATTAAGAATGATTTTACTACATTTCTCTATTAAAATAATAACTTGACTTAAAATAATCGAGGTTCATGCTAATCACATTCATCGCCGACTTCTTTAATGACAGTTATTTATATAAGGAATTGGAAGTAATGGATATAATACAGACGGTTTTTTGACATAATTTAGTGGCTTAATTCGTTAATGTAAAATAAATCCTTGAGAAAAGGAAAGAGTCATTATTATTTCGATCTGTCATTCTTGGCTTCTATATGTAGTAATATATATGTTTTAAAGTACTAAACAATTTTTTCAATAAAAATAAACAAATTAAATGATAATTAAAGATTTAAGGTGATTCGATTTATACTATTGAAAATCTAGTTTAGAACTGGAGCACTATTCAAAACGAATATATCTGTGAACTACTGAAACTCTGGTTCGCTTCAAAATAGTAGTCACTTAGTTTTTATTCCGCTTTTTCTAAAATCAATGGTAATTCACTGGATATTATTATATAGAGAAAACATGATCAAACATCCCCATTTTTATTAACTAACTAGTAACACGATTTAGTCAGAAATGTTTACTGAACCTTATAAAGCATAATATTTTAGCTATGAATGTGGTTTGGTAACTTGACCTATGGCTGTGAACAAAATATTTGGAGATCAGGAAGTTGACAAACCTTTTAAAATTCTAGACTCGTTTTGTTGTTTCGGCTTATCGTTTAGAGTTTAATCACGAAAGTAGAAGATTAAGCTTACAAACAAAAAATCGAAAATGCCTTGTACGATTCAAGAGAGGTAGGAGTTCACCCAGCTACCCATCAGCTAGATTATGACCATTTTAAAGACGTAATTATGGTTTTGTTGGCCACATTTCCTAGTCACATTGGATCCACTCAATGTTCAAGAAAGTTTGCTAACTTTCAAAAACACCATACAAGTAAATCATTTTATAATTTACCTGAAATTTAATTACATGAACAATAGGATGTGTGAAAAAATAGATGTTATAACAACTGTAGTGATACAATCACATTTGCATTTCACAGCACACTCAAAGTTCCATCACACTGGCACAAAATACTCCGGTTAAAATTTTTTATAAACATAGGATGATTATAATCTGGCTCTTCTATAGCACACGCAACAACAAATGCAGGAGAAGACGACCAGTGTAGCAGCAGCCTCAGCAGCAGTAGGTCTCAACATACACAAAGGGAAAAGCAAGATTCTTCGATACAACACAACACACACCAATCAAATCACATTTGAAGGAGAAGATTTGGAAGATATAAGAACCTTTACATATCTGGGAAGCATCATTGATGAACACGGTGGATCTGATGCAGATGTGAGGGCGCTGATCGACAAAGCAAGAGCAGTATATTTACAACTGAAGGACATCTGGAACTCAAAGCAACTGTCAACCAACACCAAGGTCAGGATTTTCAATACAAATGTCAAGAAGGCTCCACTGTATGGAGCGGAAACCTGGAGAACTACGAAAACCATCATCCAGAAGGTTCAGGTGTTTATTAACAGTTGTCTACACAAAATACTTCGGGTCCGTTGGCTAGACACTATCAGCAACAACCTACTATAGGACAGAACAAACCAGATTCCAGCGGAGGAAGAAATCAGGAAGAAGCGCTGGAAGTGGATAGCACACACATCGAGGAAAGCACCCAACTGCGTCACAAGGCAAGCCTCCACATGGAATCCTGAGGGCCGAAAAAAGTGGAAGACCAAAGAACACATTACGGTGAGAAATGGAGACAGACATTAGAAGAATGAACAACAATTGGATAGAACTGGAATGGAAGGCCCAGGACAGAGTGGGTTGGAGAATGCTGGTCGGTGGCCTATGCTTCATTGGGAGTAAAAGGCGTAAGTAAGTAAGGATGATTATCACTGTTTTTAATCTCGTCACACTAGATATTTTTGAGTGATTATAATCAACACTTTGAGTTGCGATAAATGAATTTTTAATGATGATTGAGTAATTTGTGGCAGAATTCACATTAGTATTTCAAATAAACTATTGGTGTGAGTAAAAATGTTGTTATTTCATAGTTCCAAAGACCATTAGGAGCCACTTGTTTTTATTTCTATTCAAATTTGATCAATTTACTAAGATTTACTAGTTTTTATATATGAAGAAAAATCAAGACTTTTGCATTCATTTTTAACCAAGTGATGTCTAACACGATTTGAGTTTTTCCATCATCTACAGACCTGCTATTACCCGGTGACATGTCACAAACTATGATTACAATAATGAATCCAAGTGTGGCCGATACACATAATCAGGAAATGAACAGAATGAAACCAAGTTATAATAGTAACAATATAAATAGTAAAACGTTTGGAGTAAATGTAATAAACGGTGCAATTAATGGTGTACTATTTCAACACCAATTCAACACTACTCCAATCAACAATATTCCTCTAAGTACAGCTGGACAGAGTTTGGTCTTTTCTAATGGAACATCTTTGGGGACAGCGACGTCAATTTTAGCAAACTTACCACCACCACCTGCTCCGCCACCTCCTCCTCCGACTCCACCACCACCACTACCTCTATCCTTACCACCGATTCCAACTACATCAATCAATTTCGATAGTAGTCACGGAGCATCAGATATTTCCGGTTATACTGGATTTCCGAGTACCTTGCCAAGTACACAACATTTTATGAATCTGGCATCTTGTCAAATAAATGGATATTTGACCTCTGACCCATATTTACAAACAAATATCGAGTTTAATAACCAAGTGGTGAATTCAGGAACTGAGTAAGTATTTATTTCCAACATTCCAGGGTTATATTTGTATGCAGGATAGAAGCGAGGTTATATTTACCAGTGGCCATAATAAAAATAAGAGATTTCACGATAATGCTGCAAATAATAAATAGTGACATAAATGATTTACATAATAAAATCCTCAGGTTTTTGCTGGATAGTGGACATAGTGTATACATCTGCAAAGCATTCTAAATCAAACATCCTATGCCAATTTTACTACACTTTACAGAGGCAACTGAAATCTAAATTTTTTGACCTGGCCTATGTGTACGGAATTATGATAACCGTTTTCCGGTATCACAGTGATTATGGTTGTAACCATAGAATCTTTTACCTCTTGCATAATCGTATAGATACTCACATGTTAATTTGATTTTGGTCCTAATCATGTTGATTAATTATATGGTCACCTATTATTCTCAATATTATAATACAGTCTTATTTTTTTCACTGGTTAAGATCATGATTATCGTGATTATCAGTAAATATAATCACACCTGCTTCACTCTTCATGAGATACATCAATTTTAACTAAAGTTAATTACATATCTTGTGTACTATTTCGTTGATAATAATTTTCAGTTCCGTTTGAAACATTCATATCATACTCGTTTTTAAAATATACCAAACCTTGGAGTATTAATTCCGTGAAAACATATTAATAATAAATAAACACGATGAGAAGCCTTGAAACAGAATGAATTCACTTTATATTATCGATCTTGTTGTTTTTACTTAGCTGATGAAATTATGATCACAAGTTTAAGTTGAAGAGGACTATTGATTTAATGTCCCTTACAACATTAAACCTAATGATCAAAATGTTATACCACAACAGCAAAATTTGTGATCAGGTATAAAATGTCAGTGAGTCAGTTTACAGGTTTTAACTAGAAATAAACATTTGGTGCATCATTTTTATCAGGAAAGTGGATTTCTATTGTGTGTCACGCAATTTATAATTAATGTAGTATAAAGTCATTTTAATGAGGTCTATTGCAATGTAAAAGAATATGCCCAATCTCATGATCAATAAAACTCAAGGAATGATAATAACTGATCTGTGTAATAGCGTTCATGAGTTATATGTTGAAAGGTCTTGCTAGCCACATGATTTATATATTATCTCAGCCTAAAAACCGTGGTTCAAATGAGTTCCAGTCAAACGAGTAAGAAAAAATTAATTATCCTTATCAAATTTATTATGTAAAAGTGAAGCGAATATGAAGTGACATCTTAGCTTATCTAAATACCGGTTATTTTCTAATTAAATAAAAGTATTTACTTATGTTTTTATCCATAATTTATAATCAGTTTGACAGTATCTGGCCTCGTAAGTTTGAAACATTGGATTCTATTTATTAATGAGAGTAATGGAGAAGTCATGTTTCCCAATACTGGATGTCTTTTTTCTACTAGGAATAGTGTGATTCTCTTCATATATATTTATTTTTTAATCGCTTTTAACATTGTTTATAAAAAGCAAGTCCAAATAATTATACGAATTTTCAGCTGTAGGCAGTCACACGCGATCATAAGTAAGTGAAAATGAAGGTGGTATTTTAGGTCTCAATAATTACTGATTTCTACTAATTTACTTATAAGCTATATTATTTTCGTAAATATGGTGCACAAACTAGTGATCTGGATGTTATTAAAATATATCTCTCAATTTGGTCTCATATCAGTATTAGTACAGAAATAGTATCCAAAAATCTAAAGTTACTAAGTTGGTCTAAATCTTGAAAATATACTGTATTTTTGTGGTGTTAATAGGTAACATTAATGTTACATTAAACACAAATTGAGCTAATATCTCCCCATCGATTATTTTGTTTTACTTGAACTGAAGGTATTTCAAACTTTTAGTCATTAAACAAAATATACTTCATTCTCGGGCTTTTAGTTAAAGACTCTATGAACGGACCTTGGTTAGTGTTTTGTTAAAAATCTAATAAGAATTACGTGCAGAATCGAATGTAAATGTGCTTTCCTGCCTCAAATTCAATCAGGACACTTCCACATGGCTCATATCTCATAACCAGTTAAATAATCATCTCATTTAATTAGCCTCAAATTTTTTCAATATTTTATTGAAATTTGTAGTCGTCCAAATATTTCCATTTAGAAACTTTTTCAAACTTAAGTAATCATTTATATTTATAAATGAACTAGAAGTTAGTTGATTTCTTCATCTTGTCGTAATCTAAATAAATAGTTTCTTCTGGTGAACTGAGTGGTTTAATTGTAAGGCTTTCATTTTCTTATGGATGCACAAAATGTAAAGAGAAGTGATTTCATTTTATACACTTTATTCAAGGTTTCCAGCCAAGTATAAGTCGATAATGTCTATGGATATTTACGTATGGGGACATACATCACAGTGATGGATTGCTATTTAGTATTAATGCAAACGAAGGTGAAAAGAGCGATCACATGTCTGATATTCTGTTGACATTATTTTAAAGTAAATACAAAGAAAATTTTCAGAAGCTTGGCAGATAAATCTATAAACAACCAACATACATTGAAGTTGATCCAACTTATCAACTGCTTATTTAGATAAAATCATAGACAACAAAGTAAAACAAGGTTGAAAAGGATAACATTCGAAATAAATAAACAAACACTGACATGATAAGAGATAACAACATCAAGAACAACATTGTTCATTCAAAATCAGACCTGACAAAACAATCTGTCAGTCATATATGGGGAAATTCGGATAGCTCACTTCTCTCTAAAGTTTGTGCTGATGATAGCATCCATAGGGAAAATGAAAGTCTTACAATTAAATCACTCAGCTCAGAGAATGTAACTATATCAAAATTACTCATCTGAGTTATAAATTGTCTACATCATCTCAAAATACTTTCTTAAATTTCAATGAATTTTGTTTTAATAAAACTTTTAAAATTTCAAAAGAAAATAGCGAATCCATTAATTTCATCTGTTTTCCTTGGATTTATGTCATCCCAGAAACTAGTGTAATGACTATTTTAACTTATATGACCTTTGAACTTGTTCTCTTTTATTTTGTGATAAAAAAGGATTTTTTTTCTTTCTAATTTAGGGCGTGTATTCTTCTATTAGACTTTGTTGTCATCAGTCTTTTCTTTAATTATGAAAGAAACACTTATTTTAAAGATTGAGAGCAATGAGCAAAGAAAATTTTCAACACACAAAAAAGGTTATTAATATTGAACAAAATTTACTTTAGGAAATAAAATGAAATGAGATAAATCTGTTGACTATTCTGTAGTACTTAACAGTATGTAGATTGATGTAGAACACAGAAATTAAACAGACTTCATAGTTATTGGAGATTTTCAGTTTACTTTACTGAGGTAAATTGTTTTTCGTTTGAAAGTAATTAAAAAAAGTTTGATGGAAAATTTTAAATTATGAAAGTTATCACTGTAATCAAACTTTGTGGAATCGCTAAGTGTCTGTAACTTAGTCGAACCTTCTCGATTCAGCTATATTATAACATTAGTGCAAAGATTGAGTCTTAAGATTTTGCGAATAATTGAAAATATGTTTAGTGTGTTGAAATTACATAATTTGTAACTGTAATGTTAAACTGCATTCAGGTTTCCTACTAGTTGACAGACATTATTTAGAAAATTGAAGTGAAAATAAAATTAACAAAAGTAACACCACATAGTTCTTTAGTTGGATCCAGAAACTTATACCCATAACATCTATAAAATTCATAAAGAATGTTTGGAAAGAACACGATTCGTTTTTGTTGCATTTTGATACACCATTGCAGCTGAAAAATCGTGCACAATTATCACAACTGTCTCTCAATGTTATTCTCCTTTTTACAGACCTACATATGTTGAATCAGAAGTTGGGCTATCCAGAATAGGTTGTGGACCACACTTCTCAACACCTTTAGCTGTTAGCAATTTAGGTGGTCCAATCGAGAGTTCTTCTGGTCCTTCTACAGCAAACACAGGTACAACTGTTACTGCAATTGGATCATGTAATGGAGGAAGCAGTAATGGATCAGTGGGATTGCCTTTAAATAGATGTCTAACAAATAAAAGTCCTAATAACTATAACATAAATTTTTAAACGTGGAAATTGATGAGCGCAACGAGAAATGTGAACCAGAATCTGGGCTATACCATGAATTATCATTAGACGCAGTTTCATCTGATCGATCAATTTTATGTGAATTTAATGATCCTCTAGAATTGGATACGACTATTCGTAAAACTATATCATGCGATGGTGACCAACTAGCTTTGCCACGATCAGGTATGTCCTATTATATTGTAGATTTTGCTTACTGGTATTATTTCCTTACACTGTTAAAGTTTTATAAAATCAAGTTATAATATGTTTCAAATAACCACATTGTTTCAGCATCCAATGCTTGGTAAATAACGTTTTGATTTTTAAGTCACGCAAAATGCAAATTAATTACTAAATTATATAACATTTAAGATATACAGACAACCAGATCTAGTGGGAAAATCTTTTTCTGGAACAACTAACTGCTTAATATTTCATCGTTTCTTGGACAAAAGTTTTAAAGTTTTTGATTTATTAATACATGAATGAAGGTCAACATACATATGAAAATCCAATTTAAATCATTGAAGTTTTCTCCTAAAACTTTGCTAGAAAAATGAATATGTGATGTACATGAATCGTTTGTAAAACTTCTAATTCACTTTCTAGATTATGTGAAAAGGAACTGAAGATTCTTAATAAATATTATTTTCCTTATAACTGAAGTCTAGGTCAGGTAATCAAACACTAAAATTCCGTTGATATAGAACATCTTTGGTTATCTCTCGATTATTAACAACCGAAGTATAATACGTTAGATGAGTTAGACGTATCTGAAAACTAACTCCAGTTAAGCATATGACTAGTGATTCAATTTCATGAAGTATTTCGAAATTCTGAACGGAAATATCTAACCAATATATTTCAGTCCCAGGTGGTTACCTCTCTTGCTTTGTTCGTTCCATTTAAATGTAGTAAAAAAGATAATTTTTCTTAAATAAAAAAGTGGAAAAGCTTTAGTAAAATTTGGCCAGTGCAATATAACATTACATTTATTCTTAAGCTTACATAACGTTTTATATCTAACCAGTTTCTCTGTTTTTCTTTCTCTACATTTTCTGTAAATCAAACCTTTGCACAATTTGTCGACTGAATATGAACGGGTGTGTTATTGTTCCGGTTCGTGTTTTTATTCATCTATATATATACATCGATTGAGAACAGGTATTTTCTTGACCATACCACAAGGTGCACTACAATCGAATTCGCTCGTTGAAGTTTATCTGGCAGTGTGTAGAGAAGATAAACATCGTCCTACATTAGGTGGTAAGATATTCACTTTCATTATTTTCCTAAATAAAAAATATTCGATTAAGTGTATCTTTTCGAAGTTAAAACTTCATATGAAATATAGGGTGTAATTAATTCTTTCGGTGGTTCAAACATTGTTCATTGATTATTATAGTTCCTCCCTTTATTCTGAATTCGTTTCATTAAATCCAAATTATTTTTGTCTAAGAATACCCTTGGTTCAGGCATAGAAATTTACTGTCTACATTGAAAACAACAGATAATTTCAGCAGGTAGCTGTTATACATCCACACGATCATAAATCAATATTTATCAATGCTTTAATCCAGTAAAAAGTTCTTGACAATATCTTCAGTACCAAAAGTTACTTTAAATTACCATGAATAACTTTTCGGTGCTAAAGTAAACACCTGTTGTTTGAGAGTAAAAAAAATAGCAGACACACACAATGTCAGACACATTTACCTAAATATTTTGGGCTATTATAATCCTGGTCAAACATCAACAATCATTTGAAAATTTTTCATTTCTATATTCGACTGATTACTAAAGTGTAAGAGTAAAATTATTAAAAAAACTAGCAAAGAACATAAAATTAACATAATAATGAAATTAGTAAGTTTAATAGATCTGCATAAAATTTAAATCCAATACAATCGAGATTGGACACTAATGAAATTGACCTAAGAGCCGGCTGAAAAGAAGGTAAGGAAATTAAAAAGTTGGTGCTTCATGGTGCAGTTTAACTGTAATCAGGAAGACATCTCAGTTTATGTATTTTTTTATTTATATTTTCACTAGTCTTAGCTTTCCTAGTTACCTCAAACTCGCTACAATAAAATATCTGATATTATTTGCAAAGTATATGTTGAAATAATTTAGCCTGTAGGTATTTTGAATCCCCACTGAGTTTTAGAAAGCAGACGTGTAATACATTTTTCTAATAGCTATTAGCTCAATGTATATAAATTTCATAATTATATTATTCACTTAGATATTCAATGAAAAATCTACTTTATCTTATCATTGAGTAAAGTTCGTGCCTGACTAATTATATGTTGATAAAGTGATTAATATCTATGCTAACATATTAGTTGAAGTTATAATTTAGCCTAAGGAATAACCTGAATATTACTAAGTGTTTAGTCACAACAACGTAAATGTTAATCTTCTCCATTAGACCTCGGTGTAATAATTATTAGTGCCATAGTAACCAGGCACGAAATGGAACTTCACCTTTCTCCGTTTAGGAAAATATGTTTTTACAAGGTTGAGTAAATCTGTATCTTAAAGCATAATAAACATCCGATTTCTGTTAAGAAAAGACTGAGAACTCTGCTGACCGATTGTGAGCAGTTGCTTTGTTTAGAATATGGCAAAATGGTGAAAACCTGAGGACTAACATGAAATAACTAAGGTTATTGTCTACTAGTTTTCAGGAAGAAGGATTCGTTACCTTAAAAAATTGAAAATCTTCGTACTTGTAACGAAACGTTTAGTTCTCCATCTATGAAAATTGAAGCCGAGCTACCAAAAAATTTTGTCATTTACTGACAACAAATAAATCTCAAACTGCTCTGATATCACTTGACAAGACTCAGTTTTTACAATATATTCTGTTCAAGCAGTATGAAATTTACGTTAGCTTAACAGTTTGCTCAATATTACTCTCTCAAAAAATTTAAAGAGAATGATGGTGCAAATAAGTTTCAAGAAATTTGTCTAGTCACTATGGTCTAATGGTTTCCAAAATCATGAGGATAATGTTATTGAAACTAAAAATCGAACTGTTTATGATTCAGTAACTTTGCAGTGTAATATTTTATGCATGAGTTACATTTTTAATTAGACATTATGGGCTGTATGCTAGATTCAGGTCTTCTGTTTAGTCATTCGTAATTTTAGTTCATCCGCAAATCGACACAGTTAATGTATTTGTTAATGTTAAGACTTATTCAAATAAACCCAATTGTTTTTACTCACAGGTTGGAGATTAGCTCAATATTCAAAGAATTCAGTTATTTTTTTATTCAGAAACACGTATCTATAGTTTTATCCCGACAGTTTATAGAAAATCAACTCAGGGGACAGGACAAACTTTATTTAATGTGCAACTATCGTCTAACATCTGCTGTTAATCACTGTAGGCAGTGGCTGTTAGCTTAACTACGTCGTAGCATATTGTTGGCAATTTGTACATCGTTTAATAAGGAAGTTATTGCGGTGAAAAATAGAGGAAGACATAACCGTTTACTGTGGTCAATCCATGACAAGTGTATATTTTGCAACAAGTTTGAAGCAAGAAAATATTTCATAGAAATTTGTGTCAGCCTTATGCAGTCCATATAATATAACATATGAAGACTGAGGAAACTGTAAAACAATCTATATTTTAGTTCCATGTTATGGTTTTTTGACGTCTGATGGTATCTGTTTTAGTCACGAGAAAGTCTGTGATTTATACGTATGAATATAATTTAATACATCACAAATGTAATGCAACGAAGGAGCGAAATGTGTTTTCTATCGCAATAAAGTGTTGTGTAGGTAGTTCATTGAAATTTATAAATAATTAGGAATGTAGAGTGAGACTAGTAACTACTGAATAGTCAATCCATGTTGCTGTTGGCTTTTACAGATATTATCATCTGATATACTCTCCAAGAAAACTAATTTCTAAATTTAATTTCAACAAGTGTACAATGACAAACATGTAAACAAAGATTACAGTAACTAAAACTTATATTGAAAGGGTCTATATAGTAGGTTGCTTTTAAAAGCATACTTAGTCTAAATTGTAAATTGAAAAATTGTCGAAGAATACTCAATCAAAATGCAGTTCGGAATTATTGTCATTATGACTACGCAACCTATGATTTATAGAAAGCAGCTGGTTTATCTAATATAAGTTTTATGAAAATTTCTTTTTGAATTATATGGATTATAAAGCTAAGTATTTTCGAGGTGACTATTAATTTCATAAATACAATCGCTAATACAGTTTCATCATATCAAATTTAATTAGGGTTATAATGATTGATGATCTTGGGATATAATTCTGTTCGACTTTAACAGGCTAATAGTCTTTCTCATTTTAAGTAATACAATAAATAATACCATGTTTCACGTAGATATTTTTGGATAACCAGTGTATTTTGCAAAACTTATTTATTCTAAAAACTTTATTCGATACCAAAATTATTGTGATAAATTGTACTCTTTTTATTTGAATGGAACAGATCATCTTTGTCTTAAATGTGGGGATTCTCACAGAAATAATAAGAACATCATTTAAATGTACAGCTATAGCAGATGAGATTAATTTTTTTTGCAATTTTCAGTAGCTAGACCTTTACTAATCTTCATATAAATGCCCTGACAAGTATATGTGTGACCAGATTGTTCGAAATGTATGGTGTGAATACATTACGTTTTTTCAGGTCAACTCCTACTTCTCATTGATCTATTGAAAACTAAATATTTGATTTTTAAGAAGTTACAAAGTTCTTTTGACTCTTACCTATTTTGTAGTCAGTATCTAATACCTTGTTAAATAGTCATCTAGTGAGTATTTTGATTACGGAATAATTCAATAGTCAACTAAATGATGAATAGGTTATTATGCACAAAATATGGCTAATTGACAACAAATTATTAATTTATCTATTTTCAATGAAAAGAATTGGTTCTTGTATTACAAACCCTATTCTCCGACTAACTAGTTTTATACCAGAAAACGATATCTTCCAAAACAATATGATTGATTATAGGAAACAAATAAATTAAACTATAAGAAACCAGTTGATGTACTATGTTTGATAAGTTTGATTCGATGTTATCTCGATTAAGTAACTTATCGAACTGTAATAGTTGATTTACGTGTACCCTTTAGTCAGGAAAAAATGCATGACTAATTACATTTTGATCCCTTGTTTACCAACTTAGGTTCTCTGGTCAACATATTAACTGATTATAAAGAATATTTAGGTTGTTAAAAATCATGGAAATTTAGAGTAAGCCTAATAAGCCAAATGTTTGCAAGCACAGGGATGATAAGTAGGGTTGAAAAATAATTGTATTAGGACGATTTAAAACTGCTGTCCGATTTCAATTTATCAACCGAGATCATCTCAAGCAATTTGCACGTCAGTTCAGTTTCATTAGTTTATACTGGTAAGTATGCAGCTCTATAAATATCTAGTTTTTTAAATAGGTTGACTACTTACCATCAGCCTTTACAAGAGTGAGTAAAACCATTTGACGTTCTTCAACAGTGTAATCGGTGGCGCTGTTCACCTTGAATGTAATGAAACAAAATACTTTGTCTGTCTTAATTTACTTCATTTGTAACTTAACAAAAATTTAAGATCAATATAGATATAGGTCGAACATTTTCATAACACGTACACCAGTATCACAATATATAACGTACTATGTGAAACGAATGTATCCATATGGATACATATGGTTGTGTGCTTATAGATGTGCTTATTATTTTCCAATATTTCACTTCTTAGTGCATAAATAATAACTGTAACAGGCTGAACGGGTTAATTCCATCAAGGAAAACGCGTACAGACGAGTTGTATACATATTCTAAAATGAATGTGTTCAAATGTAATGAAAAATGATGCATTATCACATATTTTCCAGACATAATAATAAGAACGATTAAGTGATTCTGATTTTTCACGACTAAACTTGAAGAAGAAATTTCATTTCTATTTTTGAAGAATTAATAACAGTGTATTTAAAAAAACCAATTTATGTTTCGAATGGTAAGCTTTGTTATGACTATTAAAAAATTTCGTTACGATGCTTTTATATGGCAAATAGACTAGAAGCCTTAATATTTTGCGATCATTTTAAAGGTCTATGTCTATTTGATTACCCCGTTTGAATAACTGAAAACTTAAGTTTGATATATATTCCTTATGTAGATCATGGTAAGTGGTTAAAGTACTGACACTGACAACAATCAAAGAAGCTTATAAATTCTTTGAATGTGATGAATCTGATACATTTATCAGTAAAATTGTTTTCATTTGACAACTTTCGTTAAAACGATTACTAAACGTAATTATAGGATGAATAAATTCCAACCACGTATTGTATCAAAATGATTGTTTGAAACACTTAGTCTGTTAACTCATTTCTGAAGTAGCGAAAACACTCTTTTCACTGTAGAATAGCAGTATTCAGGTATTGTATTTACTGAGACGATTATAATATAGATGGACATTACAAATGAGAAATAACATTCGATGGTGATGAAGCTTAGATTAATATATGAGTTATTTAAGATGAAATATATAAATATCTCATCTAAAATTCTAAAAACTGAAGTTTAGTCTATTGATGTCATAAACAATGGAGGATCCGATTTACATCAAATTATATGCGTTCATATCAACTATAGTTCAATATAAGGCCACTGAACTAGCTGACCATAACTTGATAGGTAGTTGTCACAAACGAAAAATTGTAGCTGCTATTAAGTGTATGAATATCGTTTTTAGTTGAAATGTTTGTTTACAAAAATAAAATGGTCATTCATTGATATTATTTAGAAAACTGTCGTAATTAACACATTTTGTGAGTGGTCATTGGAGCATATTTAAATAACAAGGAGAATAAAAAATGATTCTTTTTTAACATCCGAGAAAGAATTTATCTATAGTTAAGTTTTGTACAGGTAATTATTATTTAAAGTATCATTTCTACAGTTCAGAACAAGCAGAAACTCCACTAAACAATTTACACCATTTGTTGAGGCTAAAGGTTTCATGGCTGAGATCCAAAATATTTTGTATCATCACTATATTCAAACTTATAATAAAATTAACAAGATAATACTGACATAGTATTTCAGAAGACAGAATTGAATACCACAGACTAGTTGGCAGATACGTGTAAAAAATCATTTGATATGATTTGTAATATATTTGCTTTAGATTACATTACTATATTATCATTCAAATTAAGTTGACACCTATCGATGTATTTTTGCATGCATAAGTTCTGCTATTTTATAGCTATAACATATAAACTATTAAACTGGTTACAAAAATATTTCAGCTATCAATCTTTCTCCAAAAAAGAAAAACAGGTCTAGATTATGTTATAATTAGAAAGGACATTTAAATAACTCAACTATCATAAAAACAAGTAATAAATAGGTGGGAGAAAACCAAACTACGCTTACTGTGCTTAAAAATAGGTAGACCTACTTCTATATTCTGTTGTATTTGATAAGTGCTTAAAGATTTTGATCTTTATTTTGTAGTACCGTGATATTATCCTCTTTACTAATTGCTTATAAACGAAAGTAGCACTTACTAGGATTATAAAATTCTCATTTGTTGAGTTGCAACGACTATGGTCTAACTAATAGTAAGCATTAAATCTGAAATATTCGATATAATGGTATCATCCGGCTACTAAAATACTATGGATTTAATTATCAGACTGCTTTCTCTTCACCGAAGGCCTATTGAATTCGAATACATTCATCTACATTCAGCTAGCAGTAAAATAGACTTCTAAAGAAACATTTTGACTATCAACGTCAACAGTCTCTTCAGTCATTGCATCCTGATGAACTTTTGTGATATTTGTACTTGTATTGTCATACAATCAATAGTCAAAAACTGATATTTAGGACTGAAGTATCAATAAGTTTTAAGGGATAATTATGCTATTTAAAAAATTTAAATATGAAAATATGGTTAATTGACTAATGCTTGTTCTTTATTGTGATTTAAATAGTTCTACTTAGTTTAAACAACTAGGTCCTGGTCCCAATACTAAAGCTTTACATACTTTTCAGATAAATTTGATGTTTTAAAGCTGATTTATCATATAGTCAAATGCTCCTTTTATAAGATATCGAACTGATATGCATGGGGTCTAGATCTTTCTTCGACTGGTTGTTTTTACTTACCAAGAATTAGCTTTGAAAATAATTCATATATTCTAGTCCAATAATTTGAAACCTGTTTCATATTTATTAAAAACAGTTATTATGTAGTTTGCACGTATTCTTATTAAAAGCTACATTTTTTAATAGTTACTAGAACTGCAAGTCGATTAGGAAGATAATTTCCAAGAGAATTTTTTATTCCTCACTTTACATCATTTTTATTTAATCAATAATTCCCAATCTCATTAAACTGAATAAATCAAATGAAGTAATAGTGAGGATAATAACTTTCATTAGTTAATAGTCATAACGACTACTGAACCTTCATTCTTTTATTCTTTCCCAACTGAAATTTCAACCCACCTATAAAACATTAATAAAGCCCCAATGGAACAATTAATTGAAATAAGCGAATTTTAATATTAAAAAATAAACTCAACTACATGCTGTGAAATGACCTAAAGCCTATTTCTTCTATATAGATATCTCAAACTAAAAGTAATCCTCCAAGGCACACATCTATTTGTCTTTCAGGTCCCATAAATATATAAAGCAGATGGTAAATAAATAAAATGTGACAAAGCCCATGTTGTTACGTTTGTTATAATCAGTATCATATTCAATATGCGGTCAGTATACTTATATGTAACTTCAATACGTGTACAGACGAGTTTGTATTGGTGTAAGATAGAGAATTCATATATTTATGTACATATAAATAAATATGTTTTTGTGAATTAGTTGTGTAAACATGTGTCCATAATTTAATTTCATAGATTGTAGACATTACTTTTTTTATGTCTGATAAAGTTGATTAACTTAGGCGAATCCTCATTTCGATAGCCTCAACAAGTACTAGTATTAGTAGTAATTAAAGTAAACTGAAAGAAACGATGTAAAATAAACAAAAATTCATTTATTTTTCATTTAATTAAGTAGATAATAAACGAGTTGGAAGCTAAATTAGTTCAGTGAACCATATTGTGTTCAACCCCTATTACTCAACTGTAACTGGTATTACATTAACTCATTTTTCAATGAAGAAGATTATTTTTTTAATCTTGAAGAACGTTTTAAGTTATTTTGGTGAGAAACTGGAAGAAGAATTTATTCGACTTTCGTAATAATACCATAGAAGATAGTGAGTAAAGCTGTAGCAATGAAAAAATAAACACGGAAATAAAACATAGTGCTTAAGAATCAATTCTATTCTCAATATCTGTTAGTGATTAAATTGCACTTTGTCTAGTTTTCGGTTGAAATGTTTAAACTGAGTCACTATTGCAGTAGCTAAAATATATGTTCTGAGTTTACCAAGTTAAAGTAGAATAATATTCGAAGTAAACGAGTTTACATCGGAAATTTATTATAACTCTTCAGTTGTCTGAATCCCTTTGTTAGAACCACTTTATTAAATTACTCGAAATTATACACACTTTGCATTATATTATGTCATAGAATTTTAATTTTTCCAGGATATTTAGGTACCAGTTTACATAGTACTTACAAAGTGTGATAAAGATTATCATCTCTACGGTAATCATAACTATTGTCACATTTTAAATGAAATGCAATATTGCGCATGACACATTTTATCTCATTAACAAACTATTGAACAACCGTTTTGCGGTCAACACATTGTCTTTCACTTGTAATTACAGAATGTTCATAATGACTGTGGGAATTCATCCTGGTTTATTTATTATGATATTAAATAACAGCGTCATTTTTGTGAGGGTTTGCATTTTCTGGTAGTTGATGTTTGATTGGAACTGCTGAAAATAAGTTTTCCTTAATATAGTCATCATAACAATTACAAGATGAGGTCGATCAATGTTTACTCTTTAATTATATTTTACGTTTTGAATGAATTTATCACAAAATCCAGTAAATTTATGAAATATAATTTTTGCAAGGATATGAAACAAAAATTCGGCTTAAATATTCAACTTTTGTGTTGAAAGTGAACCTACGCTTCTTAAAATTTTTTGTACAGATCATCAAACGTTACTAAGTCCCGTTATTCAATTCGGACCAGTGGGCTTAAATCTGTTAAAACCTGTACTCTTATCGTTTCCTCATTGCGCTGAATTAAATCAAAGTAATTGGTTAATACGAGTCTTGGCATTAGGACCGAATTTGAATCGTTCACCTAACAATCTGAATACATCAAATATAAACGGATATAAATCCAACTACAGTGCATTACATACAAATTTTGATAATTTAATATGGCAGGTAAGCTATATTTCACACTTTTTGTCAGTTATTTTAATATTCGACTTTCCAAACTCATGAGTTATCAATTTACTCAAAGTTAGTTTTACACATTATCTATATACTCATAGAAATAACATGTCTTAATGGGTGTAAAAGCATACTTCCCCTATTTCGACAGAGAAACGGAATCCATTTAAATGCAATGACTAAAATAGATCAACAAAGAGACAAAATCAAATAAAGTTAATTGGCTTTTTGAAAATTCCGTAGATTTGAGAAGCCAGTAGGATCAAGAACAATATTTAGCTACAGAACCATCGGAAACCCGAATCACTGGGTGGTTTTTCCATCCTACCTTGAAACAAGACTCATTAAAAAATTGAAGCTCGTAAGCTCAGTTTCTTGCGGAATCATGGATATGGATCTTGGACGAGCACTGCTGAGGAGCCCCTCGTTAGGACGAAACGGCCATCCTGGGCTTCAAGGTTTTTAATGGTGCTTTAACACCAATTGGTTCATGATCTTAATCAAAAACTTATTAATCTCCACAATCCTATACTGATGATAATCATATAATTATAATCGTACAGGAGTTTAGATTGGTGTAGTCAAGATATGTTGGCATGTACATCAATTATCTTTTATTCAGATTGGTAGAGTAAAAGTCAAATCATTTTTATTAAACAGCTTATGTTGAATTTACATAACCTGACAATATTCTATTCGACTTCTGTATAAAAATCCAAATTAATAACTTTTACATATGATAAACTGAAAGTGTTCCAGAATGTTTTAAGTATTTTTACCAGTTCAAGGAATACAAAATGTAAATTTTACTTAAAAGCAAATAATATTTCTTTTTCTTGTAATTATTACAAATAATAAAACAAAACTAGATATGTATGTATATATAACATTTGAAAACAAAGAGATGAAAATATCTTCTCTTTTTTTAAAAGGAAACATTACCCTACAAGTAACTTGTACATTCTTTTGACTTGATAATACAATAGTCATCGTTATTGCTGTTTTTGTAATGAGAAGAAAAATAGTAGTAAAATTAATATGTACTTCCAACTTCCAACTCCATTCTCTTTCTTTTTTATATTCACTCTACAATGAGATTATTTCACCACCCTGTAAGAAGAAAACTTGAATATACCGTGTTCTTTTTTAGCTTTCTACCTCCACATATTTCTTTTCAACTGTCTATCTACATCATATAAATGATAACAAAACTACTTTGACAAGAATAAGCAACTGACATTTTAATCATTAATTCATTTAAGTAGTATAGTATGTATATACATATAAATGTATTCAGAAATATAGAGAAATTTGATCTGTTCTTGACAGTAGAATTGTCGGTGACTAAACAACGAAATATAATAACAAATTTGAATGTTAGTCATAGTTTTAAATTCCCCGAAACATAAGCAACTTGAAACTCATTGAGCGCTCACAACATATAATAACCCACCGTTTTTTCTCTACCATTTCTGCAGGAAATATTTTACTCGAATGGCCAATTACGCCTCCTTTCACATTATTTCTCAGTTATTATATATTTCACTACCTCTTATTCTGTCATAGAACTAGATTCAGTATGTATTGATGACAAGTAACGAAAATACAGTATGCATTTCAGAATAAGTTTATAAATATACATGCTTATTTTGAAATATATATATAACAAAAATACTCAATAATTCAGCTAAGCGGTTGGGTTTAATACTGTTCGAAACATATTGCGACGCTGTGTAGTATTCATATTTCGTCCCTTATCTAAGGATAATGTTGAACAAGTTATCCAGTAGCTAATTATGTGTACGGCTTTTTCGAGATAAATAGGTAATAAATTTGTGTTTTTTAATTCTCTCTTCTTATAGGAAGTGGGAATAATTGGTTATGAATCAAATGTTACTAAATTCATTTGTCACCTTGATTCAAATATGGCACATCTGATGACTGATGTTGCACGGCGTTATTGTCTTGTTGGTGAAACACAGAAACTTCTGGGCGGTAATCGTTTAATATCAAACCATAAAAATTTAAATCATACAGAATTCCAAAATTTTCCCAATGGCATAAATACGAATGGCTTGCAAAATATAAATATCACAAACTTTACTAATAACAATAACACTATGACAGATAGTACACAGGATAGTGGATTATTATCTGACATTCAGCCTGCAACAAAAATTTTGAAATTAGCTGCATTTTCCGGACCACTAACGCCAACAATTGACTATAATATAAGAGTTTATGTGCTAACAGATACTAAAGATGCATTGGAACATGTTTTGTACGTCGAGAAACGATTAGAAGGAAGACTGTTAGATGATCCAAAGTCATTATTATTCAAAGACAATGGTGGAGGGTTGTGTTTTTACATTGAAGATATTTCTCCAGGTTGGAGAAGCCGATTACAAACTAAATCACAGGTTTGTACACATAACCATATTTCTGATGATTTGTTGAAAATCTCTTTTCGTTAAATGAAACTAAATGAAAATGGGAGACTTGTTTGTAGCATGTGTCTACGTTTTGGTGGGCTTCAGCCTTTAGTGTGCTTTGAATTTCGACTTTTAGTTATTTTGTGCCTATGTGTACACTATCCGTACATATCCGTTGTGTTTGTCATATTGATTTCTTGGATTGGTCATATTAGTATCAATATTTAATTTGTACACATTTTCTTTACACCTGTGATGTTGCTAATTGCTTTTTAATAGTACTTTTCTCACTACCACTACACTGTCATCCTATCAAGGTATAGATATGCATATTCATACCATTTTATATAATATATATATATATATGAATACTACATTGATAATATGAAGCTCCTGATTGACTTTTGAAGCATTCATTGAATAGGTACTGGCATTATTTGACCTGTACATAGTGATTCAGAAACAAGTATAATTCGGATTTATATAATGATAAATAGATAACGAGTAACTTTAGACTTTTTGATAGGATTAATCACATTTAAGACGATAAGTACACCATTAACCAACATTGCTTATAGTAAATATATTTTTGTTATATCCCAATGAGTAGAAAAATTATATTTCTGACGTTTCGTGACATAATGTAAGCCACATCTTCAGAGTAAATAAATGGCCAAATTAAATTAACACAAGTTTGCATAGTACAAAGAAACAATGCAGAATATTTTTCATTCATATTCCTATCAGATTAATCATTCTTTAGTCTACACCAAGTAAAACTTGGAATTAAACTTTTAGTTATATTGTTGAACTTGCTGTCTACGGAAACAGCTAAGACACATCAGACAAAAAGAGAAAAGAGATCTTGAATAGCTTTAAGGGCTAGACTCATAGTTTATGACGTATAGTTACGTTAATGAGTTACCTAGGCATGGTAACAATGGGATATATTTCGATATGTATAGGTCATTTTTATCATAGATTTATGTGAATCATTTGGAATTAAATGTTTCAGTTTTCAAGCTCAGGCAATGTATAGCTGCTGAGGAATTCTGTTGTGGAGTTCAGTAGATATCTGATGCTGCATGGTCTGCGTTGGTACTCTAGATGATGTCAGTTTCCGAATAAAACTATCTACAGGTTAGGAAAATTCACAAAAACCTATCATCTTAAAACACTACTATATCATTTAATTATTGACATCTCTTTTTGTTAGTTTTCTAAACAATCACTCATATAAATTATTTCAACTAATAAGCATTTAATTATTGTTTCTTAAACTTTCTGCATACAGGAAATACCATTCCGGCATATCTGGAATGGTACACAAATGTCTACGCTGCATTGTGCATTTTCACTTGAACATTTGGATTCACGACAGCTAAATGTGTCGTGCAAAATTAAAGTTTATCAAGAGAATTCCCAATTACAAGAGCAAATTTTAAAAATTTCAAACCAAAGATTTGAGGTAAATGTGATAATTTTTCTGATTTTCAGAAAAATTTGTGTTTTAAATTTGTTTAATATAAGTATGCATATGATACTGTTCACAAACTACAGGAATTTGTGGTACTATAGGACTTTATATGGTAAAATTCAGCCGCAAAAAATCAGTTTACTTTAAATGTAAAGTAAATCAATAAAAGATATCTTCGTTTCAGACGGAAAAATCAAATAGCATTGTTACCTTTATACATAATAATGAATATAGTGACAAAATGAAGAATTGTGGTCTTAATGTTAAGAGAATACTCTCTTTTTCGTTGAAGAGTTCTGTGAGCTAATTGCTTGTTTGAAATGTTCTACACTCTTATTTGCTCCGTAAAATAAATAATTCGAAATATTTTTTGTATTTGTCGTCTCATCTTTGTCAAGATAACCACCTTGGGAATATAAAGACCCTCACATAAAGTTACTGCTAAACACTAAACATTATCGAATAAGTATTTCTTTCCCTAAGGGCCTCATCATATGGACACTACTAAATATTAATTTTGCCAGATCCAATTCTATTTGCGTATTAATGAACTGTGGTTGTTACATTTATTTAATTAGATTTTGTTTCATTCCAAAGCAGACTTATACCCAATATGATTTTTTCTGCGACAAGTTTAAAGACGTACACGTTTTGGGGATTTTTCAACCGGGAATGAGTGATATATCGTTCAGATGTTTTAACTAAATCTACGTAAATGTTTTTACGTTGGAAGCATTATGATGCCAAGTTAAGACAGAAAACATACCCAGAATAAATATTATAATATTTGAGAACATACAAATTGTCTGTTGACTGTACACTACCGAACATTTGACCTGAATAAATCCTTACAGATTTTACTACTAACTTTCTTGAACAAAGAATAACTTTAAACCATTCAAATTTTTCCCAGCTGAAAACCGAACATTCAAGAACAAGATTCTTCAGTTCCGAAGACCGTAGTTCAGATATTCGCTGTTTCCCTAGTTCGTATCGGTAAGTTAAATGAAAGCAGCTTGCTTTATTTAAACTCATTGTTATCAATTCTGAAAATATCTTGTTCATGAGAATTTACGTCATGACATAGTTTCGCATTTTACTTTGAGTATTATTTTATGTAAATTCATATTTATTCTAGTTGATTTCAAGGTTTGAGAATATTTCCTTTATAAGAAACTAGATAAAAGCTATTTTTACACATTTTCTTACATATCTTCATCCGATTATCAGAATAGTATTCGTTTAGCTCGACAGTAGAATTATAATCTTGTTTTTACATGATATTCGGAAATGCTCTAACTAGAAACTCCCAGAGATGACCAATTTGAGTTAGATAGAACTCGATGAGCACAACTAAATAAATTGTACTTGAAATTCGTAATAGGGGAAGAATAATATACAAAGGAATTGATTAGCATGACCAATAGAGTCTACCCTTTTTTTAAATGAAAATATCAGAACACTTGTTTTTTTTCGGCACTCCAAAAGTTTAACGGTCATTCTCCTCAAAACGTATAAGTGCACAATAAAAAAAACATACCTAGTTTAGAACAAACATATCAATTGACTACTGAATATTGTGAAAGTTTAATATTGTGTTGAAATACCGACTTTTATATCAAATACAATTTTGTTTAGAATGAAAGAAGTGACTGAATCAAAGTGTTACAAAGAAAATGGATACCACTTTAGAAACTATTTTCAGCTGAGCAATTTGATTTACCTGAAAGTCATTAGAAGCAAATAGTGATGTAATAGACTGAATATAAAGTGTATGGTAGTCCAGTTAGTTGATTGAGTTTTATCAAACCTACAAATAATGATTACTCTAGGGATTAGTTCATAATAACGAATGAATTTTTTCCAAAGTTTTTTATATTGATTAGTATGGCAGCAAAAGTTTTAGTAATTAAATTACATTTAAATAAATTGGTTACGAAATTATATTACTTGTTTACTAATATCTCTGAAATTCTCTTAGTATACACTGAATATTTAGTGTGAATGAGTGTAAAACAAACAAACAACTAAACTGTAAATTTAAAGACTGAATAAATTAATCTACTATGTAATAATAAACAAAAACTGAGATGTCCGAAAATGTCCATACCGCTCTATTTATTACTTCAATTTCATTTCTAATTTACACTTGAAGAATGCCAGAAATATCTGTGACTGTGTTCATGTGAGGCTTATTTGTTTATGTATCTTTTTAGTTACTCACTTAACAAAATATCATATTTGACTTGATATTCAAAATTCAATTTTTGCTAATATAGTATGTCAAAGAGAATGAATACGCATGAGAATTCATCTTAACATAATAAACAACATGCGATGTATGGAATCAACGTTTTGATATTATTGTTATATATCACATTTATTACACCTAAATTAAAATGTTGACTGATTTTGAGGGAGGTTTCTTGTGAAGCAGAGTCGTCGGAATTGGCTAGATGCTCCAAGGTTGAGATTTTGACTGATTTATGTAATTCATTTGGAGAGCCAGAAAGGGTAATGTTTGGATGATGATTGTTTATGGAATAGCTTGATGAGATATACAATTCTCTGCAGTAAAAATATAACTATTTTAAGCATCGGGTCTATTTACCATCCGTATTTGGCACCTATTACGACAATAAAAGCGAATAAATGGAAATTCCGTAACCGAGCAAATTTTAAACCTAATCGAAATTTACCGTGAAATCATTAAAAACATAACTTTTCACTCAAATCCAATAAACAGGAAAAACAACTATTTTAACTGCAACTGCTTGAACAAAGCGCTACCGACTTTGTTTGAATCAAAAGAACGCAACATTGACGAACCATCAAAACATAAGGTGAACTAGTTGTCATATTAAAATCGTAGAATAAACAAATCATGTATATATATATATATATATATATATATATATATATATATACTTTGCACAATAATATCTTCATTTTTAAACTGAATTAAAAAGCATAAAATTTCTAAGACAAGCAACGTCAACTCAAAAATAATGCATAAATTATTAAAACTGTAGATAAAAGCAGGTAGTATGATAACGATCGACTTATTTTCTGTTAGCCTACCTGTGTAAAAGTATACTCGTCTTAAGTATTTTGAATGTCCTTTTCTAACTACGAAGCCGGTGATGTGATGATCAGGTGTTTTAAAAAATGTTTTTATTTACTTTCAAATACTATTTCGTCGATAAAGTCGAACAATGCAGAAAAAAGCAGATAAACAACACTGTCTTCGACTATAATATATCTAAATAACAACCGTTTATGATCAGTGGTTATTAGGTTAATATCCCATGAATGTGTTCATGTTGTCTCATTATCCGTTTAAATGAATTGTGTAGTCCTGTGAAAGAAATCAGAAAACAGTATGGTAAATGTGTTAGTAGTCAACAAAGAAATCACACTACCCTATACAGTGGAAATAAGTCAATTATAAAATTTGGTAATTAAGGATATAAACATACTAGACTGACAGAGTAGTGAAATGCTAACCATGCTATCTTTCCGTTTGTAAATATCAGGTTCAAAGCGTTTGAGTATATGAGCCACCATAAAGGGGTTTAAGATCAATGATCTTTATTTGTTTATCTTAATGAAATATTGAACTTTACCTAAATGATCTCCAGTCTCCATTAGACTCTTGGTTTCTCGTAACATGCACCTAAAACCAAATAAATGTTATTCCACCAGTTTTCCCTGTATACTTGTTTTCAAAAGTTCATGCGAATTGGTAAACATGGTTCCAGTGGACATAAGCAGAGAAAGTATCTAAAGTACGTCGGATTAGTGAGCATATAGCATTGTAAACTGAGACACATCTAGTTGTGTGTAAGTTTTTTTTCAATGCAGCTTTTATTCTTCTGTCTATTGCCTTTTTGGAAAATGACTCATTCATATTAAGAAGCCAACTATGTCTCAGCAGCGTGTTGTCTATTTTCTCCAGCAATATTGAAATAAAATATTACAATGAGTTTCACAATTACTGACGAAGCTTAATCTTCATCAAGTAGATTGTGTTTATCTACCAGTATAAACATGACTTCTTTGCTGTGTTGAGTAGCACTATGATATAACTGCGCTTGAAACTTAGTTACCGGTAGTAGTAGATAGTATTTTTGATTAGAATATCCTCTACGTGCCTCATATTAACATCTATAAATTTGAAATAGTTGATAAACTCCATTACAAACATAGATGTACATGGCGGATATATTTGAAAGCAGTGATCATAAATAATCAAACTACCACTGACATGTTTACTACCTGAAAACCCTACGGCTCAACTGTAAGTCTACCAGTACATTTGGTAGTTAACTTATACTTCAACATTCAGTGGAACATACAGTGGAACGTTAGAAGTTGCAACTTTATCTTTAGTCATATTATCGTAAATGCTAATGAGATATAAAAGTAATTCAGCTTTCAAATGTACTAAAATTCATCTCTTAATATTCTGTTAATACTTTCTAATTGGCCTGCCGATTGACAAATCACTATATGAAGGAGTAGCTAATCTATCGATAATATGGGTCTTGGACAGAAAGATTCATTTTGATATTTTGAAAAGCTACGCAAATATGAGGTGTCAGTCTCTTTCTTAAAGTCATGAGTTAAATTTTTTGAATTTATTGGGTGTTCCCTCTTACTTTGCTTTAAAATGAGACTGAGGAATTCTTTTAAAACGATGTTATATTCAAATCACGACTAATCAATCATAATCGGTAACGTCTGATTTACTTTTGTTTATTCACTCTTCTTTAGACAATATGAGATAACCTTTGATGGAACTTTATAAAGCTTTCGATATATTATACAATATGTATATGCCATCAGACCACTTTATATTTTTCTCAAAGTAGATCACTTGGTAAATGAAGTAATTAAATAACAAACCGCTTACCGTTAGTCTAATTTAATTCACGAGCACAACAGTTTTGTGCGCTATTATGAACTGATTATACAGTAATTTAAATTAGTTAAAATCAATAAAAACACTTTTAAACTATGTTCCATCAAGATTCATTGTCTGAGACATTTGTACACACTATTATAAAGAGCAACGTTTACACCATGAAATGAAAGCATGAACATAACTACAAAAGTATGGACATTTAGATTACTTGTTTTGTCTGCTCAGCAGGAGGTTATATATATATTTTTAAAGAATTTCTGTTGATAATATTTGATAAGTAAAATAAACTAAAAAAGAGAAAACCACATACGCACCGTTATATTATATTACATCATGTGGAGTCAAATGACATACAGATTGATAGGATGAAAGCAAAGGAGAGAAGGAGAGATAGAAGAAGCATATATTTAATGTATTTTAAGTAGTATCCATCCCTATTTCTTATACTTATTGGTACTAGGTAACCATATGATTTATCCCTAGTGTATCTACACATTTTAGTATATGTACAGAAATTATTTTCTACGTATCCAGCAATGGATATTTGCGTGACCACTGTAAATGGAATGTTCTCTGAGCAATAAACACATTTATAAGTGTTTATGACCAAATACATTTTTAGGCATATGTGTTACTGTTTATTTTGCTTGAAGCATCCGAATTATTATTTAGTTTCAATGTATTTCTCTTTTCTCTTACCTTTTTCCTGAAATTAGACTTCCTGTAGTGACTACTCAAAGACTGTGTAAACTGTTGGATACGAAAGAAGGTGAATGGCAAAAACTAGCAAAACATATGGGAATGGAGAGGTTAGTTTATAATTTGATCTTCCGACCCCCCCTAAAGAGCACACTACAACGATATCATTATGTTTATGTCCCAATACAGTAATATCTGATTCTGTTTACCAAAATAAAGTTCATATTATCCTCGTAATATATTGAGATGGAACTTTAATTTTATAGACGGGCACTGATAAACTAGGTGAACTCATATACAATGATAGTCAAAAAAACATGACAGCAGTAAATGACTAACAAATAGTCAGTCGTGAGACTCAATGTCTGCTTAGTGGCTAAGGTAATCGACTTTCAATCAGCAGATCAAAGGTCCGAACTCGGCTCCAAACACATCAGTGGTTGTGAAAAGCTGATAGTAAGGGAAATCATAATGCAACCAGAGTGTCTTAAAGTTACTGATGTGAACCTGTATGAGATGAATTATTTGCATGCCTATATTCTTATGAATCCTGGCTCTTTCTATGCTCAGTAATGACGGGTGTGTTTCACAACAATAATTCTGATGGTCGCCGTATAAGCATATTCTTTCTACCCTTTACAGTTATTGAGGTAAATGAAAGCTTACGATTCGGGAAACATAAATATACTGTAAGCCAATTATTTAACACATACACATTTAAAACATGTATAAATAGATTCTCTGTAGGATAACTCAAAAAAGCTTCATCATTTTTACCACGCATGTTTCTAAGGGGTGCTATTTCCGAAACGCTGTGAAAAAACTATAATTTAACCTATTTAGATTGTTGTTCTTCATTTTAATTGTAGCATAAAATTTCCATTAAACACGGACTTAAGTTATGAGTCATAATTCGAAAACGTAGTGGATTATTGTCTCCAAACCATGTTTAGAAACCAGGAGTAAGCTTAAAAACACATTGAATCAAATTTTTAATAAACATTTTTCAGTGATATGAATTTTATACCATCCACATTAAAGGACAGAATATAAATAGTTAGCTACACTGAGTTCTGTAGAATATGCCCCTATTCTTCTCAGCAAAGTATAAAACTTCTCACTGGGAGTTAATTTCAGATCCTTTAAATAATGCTTAAGACCCAGGACTTAGTGAATAAATAGTTGAAGTGGAATTCTTTGTGTAATTCTCTTTCAATTCACTTAGTATTTAAGGTGAACTTTGATTAAAACTCATCTCAATAATGCAACGTTCATGTGAAATTTCTTGATCAATAAATATTTTCAACATTGAACTTCAAACTTTACTACAGATTCTTGTTTTAAAAAATATTTTTTAGGTATATATTTTATTTGAAATCACAGCCAAGTCCAACAACAGTTCTTTTAAATATGTGGGAAGCTTGTAATCGTAATGAACCAAGTGTGAATGAATTAAAAACTATATTCACCGCCATGGATCGAGCAGATTGCGCAAATCTATTAGACTGAGATATAAATAAACAAAACAGTCATCCTTAATTTCAAAAAATATATAAACTGAAATAGAAATATATATATATATATATATATATATATATATAATCACAAATACATACATACAACAAATAGATACATTAACTTGAAGAGATGATACATTTCCAAAATACATATCTTTAATTATGATTTTATTAACTCCGGAGTCCTAGTGCATTTAGAAATAGTAATGGGCTGCGTTCTAATTTATTACCTGGTACACAGTTAACATAATTTCCTGCATCAAACAAATATATAATACAAGTAATATGAGTAACTTTTGCTAAATTTCAGCAAGCTGCTGACAAGTCTTTCTTTATATCCAATGTTCACCGTAAACGACTAATTTCTACACTGATTAGTACTGCCTATGGGTTGATCATAACCGGTAATAAATTGGGAATACCAAAATATACATCAAAAGTAATTCAATCGAAAAAAAATTAACATCCAGATATACCATACTATAAAATGGAAACTCAGTGTTCAATCACTGACAAATTGGAAGAAATTGCATTTAATTTTCACAACGAATTGTGATGTTGATTAGAGTCTATATCCCATACACTTTGAATAAAAGCATAAATAATCATACAAGTATTCAGATTGGAAAAAATTCCGCAATCTCCTTGTATTAATACACGAAACATTTTCTCAGTTTGATTAAGCACCGAGTTACATTTTGCCATGTACGTCCTTTTAATTGCCCTCTTGTAAGTGGTTGCTTATATAATATTTATGATTTGTACAGAAAACAGTTTTGAAGTACAGAAATCATCATGAACGCATCAATTGTGAATAAACGAGAATTTATAAAATTTTGTTTTGTCTTATTAGATGGCTTTCCTTTATATTTCTTAGGTTGAATTTCAAAAATAAGTTACAGATTCTAGTTTTTTTTTGTGCACTTCGCTACTTGTAAGTAGCGTAGAAAGAGATAGGGATGAAGAGTGATCTCAACTATGACTTGTAAATAAAGTGTGTAGTAGGAACATATTGTTACTGCCTTGAATTAAAAAAATAAACAAAATGTCATGGTTTTCTTCACTAGAGAAATACTTCTCATTTTTGAAACTGAATAATATGTCGTTTATTTAATTCTAAAAGGTGTATCATATCGTTTCTCAGCATTGAATTTCAGGTGGTTCAATGCTAATATGATGTCCTTTCATTAGTTAGATTCCCATAAACACTAACTTTAACGTTAGTCAAATATTTCTGGATGATCTTTTATTTTCAGCGGAATTCCAGTTAGATTCTAGGATTCAAAGATGGAATGAATAATGATTTTTTAAAACTATCCTTATACTTAATAAAAATAACGATATGGGCTATTTATACAATATTTTCTAGTCACACAGATATGTTGAAAAAATTTAGTTAGTAATCTAAATTTAAGAGATTTTGAAATTATTTATCTCAAAATATATTGCTATATATATAAATATGCTGTGAACCTGTAGTATTTCAATGAACAGTCAGTTTTGATGGTGCTACAGTACAATTGTATTTGCTAGTTATCCATATTATTTCAGTTTTCTAAACATGTGCCAGTGAGGTTCATTCGTTAATTGTTTCTGTTTGTTTTTTCTCAATAAGTAGGTTGAGTACCCACACAGATGAAAGCCATAGATATAATTGAAATTCTATCATATATTTAAGGAAAATGATTTCTTAAGGCACAGGGTATGAACAATTTTACTGGGATTATCCCAAGAGAGTTAAATACTTTGCTTCAACCTGGTAAACAAGCAATAGCCTTTGATTATGAAGAAGTGAATGAGATTTCACTTGCTTTATTTCTCAAATGACATATTGACTTAGCTCTGAGTTTTAGTATAGTTGAATGAGTTGTTTTTTCATACCAAACTAACTATAGATGCAATGAGTAGAATTCAAAAAGCATTTTTTGAAGAAATTACCACTATAACCATCCATACAAACAGTCTTGTGACTTTACTGGAAATTTCTTCTGATAATTCTTTACATAGTTAAAATCTGTCCAATTTAAAAAAAGAAGCTAAATTTCAGGAAAGCATTCAAGTAAACTAAATAAATTTGCAATCTATAGCTAAAGGAAAGAATCTGATGATTAATTATGGATCACTTTAAGGGAAATGTTTCATGACTATATGCTCAAATGACATTTTGAATATACAAATGCACAAATATATTTAGGCTGAACTCTATTTGCTTCTTTACTTGAGAAAGCTGACTCATTCAGATAAATTTAATGAAATTCTTAGAACGATAGACAGAAAAATTATTTCCTGCTTAGGAGTTGTTTTAGTTAATTACCAACAATTAAAAAGAAAACTAAAAACACAATAGTCACGCTTTATTTGTTATTGTCTATTAATTTCTTTGTGTAAATAACGTTACATCCACGTTACCATTTCATGTTGGTAACAAAGAATAGAAACTTGCTACATTATTCAGGTGAACAACAGTTTGAAAATAGAAAAACAATTAACTGTATGTTGTCATGTTTAGGAGAAATATAGCAGTGAAATTAATTCCTTCACTAATCATTGTACGCAACTTGTCTGTCTTCTAATAATGAGAGTACTTTTTTTATCAAATAGATTACGTACTACCTATATACCATGTAAAAAAACTTTTACATTTAAGTTAGGGTGTTGTCAAAATGTCAGTGTGAAAGGATTTTCGTCTTAGAATAAACTAATATAAATACAGTTCAGTTATTAATAATTATTTATCACTTTATTGACTAATTTAATCGAAATACCTGGTAGAAGTAAGAAGGTATATTAATTCAGCACCCAAATACCGTGAAACATTTCTTTCAAATTTAGGTGAAAATTCTTATTTGTTAATAGAACTATGCTTCAAAAACCTAGTATTCACACGAATTCGAAAGCTCTCATTAACTAATGCTGTTCCTTATTTTAGTTATCGATGATTAATTCAAAGAAGCTTAAATTTCATTGAGAATTATGTGAAGCAGAATCGATCATAATGTGATCTATTCAGCACTGAACACAACAATATGATGAAAAACGAGTTTCCTGTGTTTCATGTTATCACCAACAGAGAAGCCTGAAGACTTACTTGTGAAATATGGTTAAATTTAACAAAAGTTAGAACATGAAAATTTACCTAGACGCATCTGCTCGGGTCTAATTTTCCGTGAATATTTTTGACAGTATGAATATTCTTAGTTCATATATTTGTGTAAATAATTACAACAATGTTAATTAGATAAAGCGCTTAGGTATATTCAAGAATCACTTTGCTGAAAGGCAACTCACTACAAAGAATAATTATAACTCTGATCGAATACATAAAATAATCTTGAAATTACAGTTATTTTTTCATATTTTCAAGTCAGAAACTATCAAGCTAGAGACATGCATTCAGATTCCTCGGCTTTGATCCGCGAGTTTTTAAACCGTTGTTTATCCATGTATGTAATTGCTAGTTCTCGCTAGTTCACTTTATCTAATTCTGATCATTTTCATCTTCTTAACATTTGATTTAGTAGTTACATTATGAACTGAACTTTAGCAAAAATAAACCTGTTTTAGTAAGGTTTGGTAGCAATGATTTTTATTGTCCTATCGCCCACAGATAACGAGAATACTGTTTACACTGAAATTCGAATCTTTAGAAACAAACTTCAGAAGTGCAATACTGAATCCTTATAAACAAGAATACAAGTTAAAATGAGTTGGCTGATACAAACAAATTCAGTAACACTTAAACACGGAATCGATTATTTATTCAACTTTTTTCTCTGTATCTAACTGTGATAGAGGTGTCAAGTGCTTTAGGAATTGATCTTTTCATAATAAACTTCTACTCAGTGTGAATGAATATCCATTCAAGTTTTGTAGTAAATTATTCATATTAATAATACCGATAAAATGATAATGTATAATGATATCAATATAACAATAGGGACGTTATTTTATATCTTTACAGTTTTAATAGGACATAATTTATAATGAATAATTTAAGACCAGAAACCATTAAGTAGTATATTTATGTTTTGTTAAATAGCCCTATAACACAACCATTGATAAATTATCTCATTATGCTCTACAACCAGACATTTTATGGTTTTCCACTCTGTTCAGTGAATAAGAATGTTTATCGTTGAAAATGTAACAGATCGTCAAAAATAGCATATTATCATTAAATACAAAGAAGATTCAATTGCGATAACGGTCTGAATACTAAATAAGTGAATGAATTACTATATGTCAACCAAAAAAATAACAGGTCCAGGAGTTATATAACTTCATTAGACATTAAAAGGTAGTCAAATGACCGACTTAACATTTAAATTAATTTACTTTTACGTTTTACGTAAGGATAAATCAACCAAGTATTCTGAGATCAAAATTATTATTATATTTTGTACGAGTTAATTTTGATATCCAGTTGGTATAATTGTAGGAATAAATATCTAGCTACAAAAAGCTGGTTTCTTGTCAACATTACTCTGTAAAAAACGTATAACTCAATACAAGCTGACCATTCACAGATCAGAAAAACTTGATTCAATATCTCAAAATCAAATGAAATTTTGAACTCTAGAAGTTGGTAAAGTGTTCTCGCACAAGTAATGATTGTATTCATGTATAAAATCATGTTATCAAGTGAGTCTAAATAGGTGATGATGATTGTACAAAATAAATTCCATGACCAAATAATATTATTGAATCAGTTTGTTTAACTAATGTCGAATGAAATAAGCATCACGTAGATCGTTTAAAATAAAGATGTCCAGAAAGTTCAAAAAAGATTTATTTAACCATAAAAAATGAGAATATGAAACATCTTATATGCTGCTTAATACTGTCTTCAATCTTATTATTTAACTCATATAGTATATACAGAGTCACATTTATCCTGCCAGATATAACGCCGTGCATAAATGCTAATTAAACTACTCTATCACATTACAACAGTCGCACATAATTATACACACATATATACACATAAATGCA